AGTATTTTTTTCAAAAGAAGAGAAAAATGTGTAGTAAGAACAAGAAAAAGCTTTTTTGAGAATCCAATTATTATTGACCATAATTAATAGTCTATGATTAAAAAATGATATTTCCATATTAAAAAAAAAAATCCTGAAAAAATATATTCACAGAACAGAAAGTTATATTTTAATTTAACTTTTTAATGACGCTACTATAATTACACAAACTCCTTAACATAATTGACTTTCGACGTGTTATACATCTTATATTTTTAACGAGTTTACATAATTAATATTAAAATCAATTATTTAAATTGGCATTAGATTATCTTTACTACATTTTAGTTTAGTGGAAACGAATACTCGATTTGGACTTACATCTTAAATAATCGTTTGGTTACCCATTTAAATATTTTATCTCGTCATGTTATCATAGCGTCATTATAATATAACATATATAGCGTAAAATGGTTAGATAAACGTTTATTATTAAATTTTAATTAATAGTTGTAGTAGCGTAGTAATAAGTAATTATCAAGCGTATAGTTAGCTATTAAGGCACCAACGTGTATAAACTTAACTTTATTTTACAACTAATATTTTGTAAACATCATTCCGTGTTACGTATCAACAGCATGCTGTGATGATAATTTTTGGCGGGGTGTGAACAGTTTTGGAGGGAGTTCTAGTGCGTGGGACACACAAAGGGGTAAAACAGCTGACTTGCCACTAATGCCTAAATCGATTTGCAAAGCAGAATTGGCTACTGGACACATCGTGTTTATTTAAAGTATACCAAATTTCAATAATACAGTATATTCAGTCGTGGAATACCTTTGAGAATATGACTAACTGGAATACACACCTTATATTGTAATTAAAATAGAATGCCATATAGTTAAATAAGCTTCTCACAGTAAAAACTATATTTTCTCTAATTATAGAATAGGTGACGAATAAAATGCTATTGGTTATATCAGGTTTACCTATCAGCTTTACTTGGTAGAAAAGAACCGTATTCGACAGCTAGTAATTGGCATCACTGGTCACTGTCTGTGGCTAAATTGAACTACACATTCTAAAACTATGTAAATGATTAATTCGGAAATGGAATTTATTCTTATACCAACAGCCAAAGCTTCGAATTTCAATTAAATTTAAACGCATTCTAATTAAAATAGTTACTTATATTTGGTACCTAAGGCATAAAATGAGGTATTGCCGACTCGAGATAGGTTTTTAAGCTCGAGATGAAGAAGAGAACCTAAAAAGATCGAGATCTGCAAATCCATTTCGGCCTGTGGTACGAACGCTATTTTTCACCCCACTATACCCTATTACCACTAGGTCTATTCACTCAATAACAATTCACACTAACAGTCAACACAAGTACAACTTTAAGGTTATTGAAAACTATTTGGATGAATCAGTAAAAAAATAATAAATAGTTGCCAAGCAGCGGTGACAATAAAACAAGTACATTGCAATGCACATGGATAAAGCTTGTGTATTCAATCAAATCAATTTTTCAAGTAAATAAGCAAACAGCTGCTTTTTGGCCCTAGGGATGTAAAAACCTGCTTGGTCCCCACCCCAATTGACGATGACAGCTGGCATCTACCACCAATGGATACGTAGCATGGAAACGTAGCTTTCAGCCTCCAATGTTTGTAAAACGACTAAAAACACCGTAGTGTGGTGAAAAAAAACCTTTCTTTGTTGGGAGGAGCGGGAGAGCAGACATGATATTATTCCAATTCGGCAAACAATATGTAAAACTAGTATAAAACGAACGGTGAGTCTACTTGACCTTTTATAGTTAGATTGAACCAGACTATTACAGCTTTAACAGCGTAATATATTTATCGGTTGTGAAGAGTAAATAAATTAAAAAGTAAACTAATCTATGTTTGAGAATGAAACAACACATTTTCTGCTGTACAAAAAAATGTGGGTTTCTTCTCAGTAACGTTTCAATTTTCACCCTCTTTGAGCAACAAGATGGAAAATTTTCTGGTCTTTGTATGAGGGGAATTTGATAATCTTTCCATATTTCAGCTATCTTAGTATCTTACACCTGTATATAGAAATAACCCAGACAATATTGGAGGTACTGGATGGAGTGAGTATAAAACTTCAATAGAATGTTGCACCTACAATTTTCGATTATAAGTTGACCATAAGGTTGTGTTTCTATTTGTGTTTACATAAATGTCATTGGTATTTTAACGGGTATTTTTTTGTGAAGGAACGGTCCAATACATGGTCTTGTTTTGACCTTATGCCGTTTAAAACCTACATTTATGTGATTATTTTTTACACAAGAACTGTTAGAAACATAAATTTCCTTATGACGTCTAAAAAATAACAAACACAATTCAAACAAGTAAAAACAATCCAAAATGTCCCCGTACTCAACTTAGGTATAAGCCTATGCGTAATATGTGTAGGAAGGCATAGAAATTATGTTTCAATGTTTAAGACAAGATAGGTTTAATCACGGGGTGTAACACATGCATTTGACATTGACAGATTACAAACATTCAAGTATTGACGTTGCGAGATGGTGTTATGCATATCGTGTTACCAAAAAGATTGGATGATTCAGCCAAAAATTTCACAAAATCTAGTACCAAAGTCCATTTGGACTAATGTTTGGAAAGTGTGTGTAATAGTAGTATTGCTAAACTTATCATTAAAATTAATACTATTTTCCATTTGTATCTCCATTTAAAAACTGTAAACAATTCACGTCTTGTTTATATTAAGACAGTGTCTATTGATTTTAAAATTATGAAATAGTTTATTAAAGAATTCAAAAAAATATGGCAGGACCTTGAAAATGAAAATGAGTATATAGTAATCAAAATATTCCGGCGTTAAATATATTTTAAGTTTCATTGCAGCTGTTTATTCTCTGATAATCAATAATTGTTTGATTAATATAAGTCGTCACACATTTGGGATTTATTTGAATGTGTGCTTAAACTAGTTTTGTAGTTAAAATTATCATTGTAATACCCAGTTGAGATGAAAAAATTAGCTCATTGACGCCTTAAAATAATATGAATGTAGAGAACTTATTTCCAATAGTCAATAGTTAAATCTAATAAGAGTTGTGATCCTTAACACTTAAGTATAGATATTGCAAATAATTAGATTGTAAGTTTTTTTAATACAAATCTGACAATCTATTGAATCTAAAATAAAATAAACTCTACCAAAATCATTCCTTGCAGTCCTTGTAGTATGGGTTATGCGTGAAATAGTGTTACTGTACGCTATTAAATGTCTTGTCATCTTAATTTTCTTCTAGTTAATTTTAACACTATTAATTTTGCTATCAATTTTGTTGCATTCTACTACAGTCTACTCTACAGATATAAGTTTTAACATACCACTAATAAAACAAACGGGATAAAATATAATAGTTTAAACTGTTAAATTAAACTCTAGTAATAAAGCACGATAAACTGTATCAAGTAGTTAACATTATACTGTAGCGAAGGGCCGCATATAAACGTGCTCAGCGAAAACATAGAAACTTATCTTACAAGTGTAATAAGAGAATTCCTCTGCATAAATGTAATCTCCGTCAGTTGTGTTGAACACTTTAGACTCTAAATCTTCTGTAGGAACTTTGAAACAGTGGGTGCTTCACATCTCACTTGTAAACTCAAAAATATCTTGTGTATGAGCATAGTTTCTAGATTTATTTACTGCATGGAGAAATAAGCTGTATGTGTTAAACGTAAGGTCTAATTATAGAACCCAATGCGATCGTGGAAATAAAAAGGGAATAATGTGGGTCTTCAGTAAATTATAAAAAGAATCATCTTTACCAAGATTTAACTTTATTTTGGCTTTATAAATTGACTGGTAAAATGAGAATATAACCAATAAAGTCTAACTAAGCATATAGTTTATTTCATTAGTTAAAAAGAAACGAATAAATTGTGTGGAAATAAATCAAAACTAGATAGGTACCTTATGATTTTTAAGTTTGTGCTAACTAGGTAGAACAAAATTTTTGAAAATGAATTAATGGGGAAATCTTGATTATACTGATTTTTAAGTAGGTTAGCTACATTTTTAAATGTTCCTCCCTTATGTTTGAAGTAGTATAATTAGTTAGTCAGACTGATTAAAATTGTAACTCTATGCATATCGATAATCAATTTATAATAAATATATAAATATATTAAAGACTAAATTAAAAACAGTTTCGAACGTATTTGATATGCTTTTTATTTAAATTGAATTTACTCTCGTTTTATCCTATATTAATCGAGCAAGCCATGCGTCCAACTCAAAATTGACCTACTTTATTTAACTACTTAAATAGTTTCAGATGCAGTAATTAAAACAATTATTCAGTTTATTGTATCCCTCTTTGCGGGATCCCCAGATTCTTTATAAACCCCAAGATTTCAGTCCTTGGAGCCCATCTACCTCATTAAACGAGTACACAACTACAAAGATAATTTCGAATCTCATAGTTCCCTAGATTACAAACACTTTGGTATTTGAAAAAATTGGATTTGATGGTAAAAAAACCTCCAGCTGTTTGAAATGATCCAAGACGGCCGCTAACCTTCAAGGACTTTTAAGGTTTGTTTTCAATGGGTTTTCTTGGCCCAAGGGATCCCGTGTGCACGCACATTCATCAACATATAAGTAATGTACAGAGGAAACACACCTATGGGACGACACCGGACAATCAGCCGTAGTGTGTTACCGGAAATATACTTGTGACGAGCAAGGTAGAACCCGAGTGGTGCGGAAAATCCTATCGCACAGGGCGCTCACTGGGTCTTCCTCCACCGTGAGCGTTGTAGTACACGATGGGGACGAGTTGGTATTGGACTTTGCCCTAGACACCAGCCACTGATGCTAGACACCACTTGATTACGTACCATGGAATGCTTCCTCTTAGGCCTAACGTTCTTCTTTGAGTCTCCTCAGAATCCTTTAAGTAGGTGTAAGAGTTTCAAAAAGGTCTAGAGTGTTTAACCTACCTGGTTTTCTTCCTCCCATTCTAACTGTCGCAAAGCTTTTTCATCGTCAGGAGAGCTCGTGTCGTTTTCTGCACCATGAACCCGCCCCTGAAAAAAAATATATTTTTTAAACACAAAATTTGAAAATAATAAAAATAATAATTACTTTTGAAAGATGTAAGGGAAAGTTGTCTTTGTACTGATTTATTCATTCAATAAAACATCGACTATTATCAATATTATAGTCATTCCATACATAGACATTCCGTGGGAAACGTGCAAATTTACTGTTCATTACAAATCTGAAACATATCACACTATATTTATAGTTTACAGTAATAGTAAACACTCACTAAGAACATAAATTCTCTACTCATATTTATAAGGGTGGTAAACTTGTCCATGGGGATACTTTACAAAATATAAACCAGCAGTATAGGTTCACAACAAAACCAATATCAAATATCGGAGTCATTAAATGTATCGGGTATAACTCCGTCGTAAACCAACCATAAACACAGACAGTTAGAGCTTTATTTCCTTCCTTGGATAAAACATAAAATAGCCACCGGGGTAAACCATAGACTATAAACTGTCTGCGATTTTTTATTTATAATTATAGTAGGTGTACGGTTATAAATAAACACATTAGAGATGAGCGTCAAACATTTCCCAGAGTTTAGGAATATTTACGTTGGTTGTTTGTGGATAGAAAAGAAGTAGTGGGAGGAAAATAGTTTACCAAGAAAACTCGTATCATCAAAACTTAAATGTATTTCAGTTTAGCCTACGTGTAAATATAAATAAATTGTGATTCCGTAGTGACCTGAATGTTTCACAATTCTTCTTCTTAATTGCATTCATAAGGTAATAACTGTTTTAAAATTATTGGGTTAATCTGTTGAGTGCATAGTTACATTAGGTTTAAAATGTTTATTTAACATGAATACACGGTCTTTTGAAATATGTTCGTCAAATTTGTTTTATGTAAGTTATGGAAATTTTAGACTACAATGCATTTGATATACAATACAATAAATTGTAACATATAGACATTATGTTATTTAGTTGGTAGAATTATGATGAACAATATAATTTACTAGGGATAATATTGGATTTTAAGTCAAAGAAAGTTATTGAAATAAAAAATAGTGCAATTTTATTACAAACGAAATAGTGAATAATTAGTCATTCTCAGACATTTTATATTTAAAAACAGAGCTCATCTTACAGTTTTATAGCAAAAAATAAAAAGGTCCTACTATTATCCTAAATTTGTGTTGTTTAGTAATTAAAAAGGTTGCAAAACTATTTGAAAATGAACAAGATTTAGTTTCATAAATAAATTCTAAAACATCCTATAATAGTTCGGTTTTAATCTGTTAAATCGCCAAATATCTGATGGCGTAACAGCGTAACAATTCAAATTGAACGCAACCGAATCTGTTTGTTTATGATTTACAGAACAAAAGAGATATTAGCACAAGCAGATTATGGCTGGAATCAGTCAACATTTGAGATATGTTTTCATCCACCGCCACCAGAGCTTATAACCTTCGCAACAGCGTATTAGCGGAAGCAAAATCGACTTTTTCTTATCTTAAATACCACACATGGGGGACAATAAATTGCAAATCAAATATTTCAAACGCGATTTGTTTTAGATTTTAATGGAAGTTTAATTTTACCTATTTTATTATTACTTTTATTATTTTCATCTCCTATTGGGGAAGTACGTGTAGATATATAAACACGTTGAAGAGGATGCATAACTGATATTGCCTACTGTAAATTAAAATATGTTTTCTTAAGTTTTAGGATGGTCAATTAAAATGTTATAATTTATTAAATATGCTCAATGCTTGTTTATATTTCCTAACAATATGTTTGGATTGCGTTCTTAAACATTGTTATTTAGCAGCTTTTCAAAATCAGAACTAAGATCAGATTTTAAGGAATTCTGATAAAACTGAAAACACCTCAGATTGTTTCAAAATATTAACTATTATTTAAGTTAATTTTATTGATTATTAAGATAGTAATAGTAGTTTCCCTTGTGTTCCTTTTTATGATATACCAAGATAAATAAATTAAGTAACATTGTAATTCATATTTTTCTTGACATAGTTTAATAAACACACATTTTACTTTAAAATAGTATAAAGTATATTAATTTTAAACTTTTGTTAGCTTTTGTTTGTTAGTTTTTCATTTGCTATACGTTAATGTTTGAAATACAAACATTTAAGCTTGTTTGAACGTTTCCTTAGACTTAGTGTAGTTTTAAAGGTGGCTTAACGATTTTAATATACATTATTTATGTACTTCAATTAGCAAAGAACTGTGCAAGTGGTACTTTAAAAATTTTTGTAAGTTAAGTAGTAAATGTCAACAAATATTTCAAGTCGAGGTAACACTTGTAAAACTATTAGCTTCTGTCCATTTCTTTTCCCATCGCCAGCTCTCGAGTCTTAGCCCATTTGTTCCTGCCGTTGTAATTTATTGTTTTACATTCAAGTTGACGTACTATTGTTTTGAAGATGTTTTTGCAATGAATCATAAGTTACAAATTCTATAAGAAAGACCCTACTAGAATCAACATATAGTAAAAGTACTACATTTTCCTTCGACTAAGTTCGAAACTATAATAGGCTGGTTAAAAATGTAATTGCTAAATAGATTAAAATAACCACCAAATAGATGAAATGATTAATAGTTTCAGTAAAAACAGCTGATTTAAATAATATAAATAACTTGTAAACAATCACTAGCACGCCTAATGGACAAATAGAGAACTTAAAAGATCAAGGTAAAATAAATTTAGAGGAAGGAAATAATCTGCTGATAATTTTATTAAATATATTTACATTCGTTTTTGGTTTAATTGGTAAAAGCCAAGTTTAACTATATAATACCAAATAAATAGCTGAGTTATGACAAAGATTTGTTTAAGCAAATCTAAAAAATGTCACCGAAGAGAAATAATAGGAGACATTATTTATAATAAATGTGAATGTTTTTAAGCTCAGTTTTCCTTCTGCACAAAGCATTTTGACAAATGTACTAGTCAATGAAAACAGTTGATTCCTTCTTATGTTTTCCTTGTTTGTATTAGTTGGACTGTCAAAAGCAGCAGAAGCAATCAACTTAACCTTCTTGCAGACAACGCTATTTCAGTCGTCCTGTTGTTCTTAAGTTGATGATGTCACATTACATTTCCATCTTTTCAATAGTTGGTTAAATCGGAAAAAATATGTATTTGCAGAAAGATAACATATATTAAGTTATTTCTTGTATTAAATCGTATACACTTCATTGTTTTCTATATCATTAACATATAGCTTTTTAACTTCTAACGTATATATTCATCCATTTACAATTGATAAGACAATTTTTAACCTTGTTATTAGATCTAAAATGTGGTAAAAAATGTGACCAAAGTTGGTTGGAAGCCTTAGTTGTCTTCATATTTTGTAAAATATTTGTGACAATTAGCATGTAAAAAATATTATACTTCACAGTATCAAATATATTTTATACGTTAACGCAACGCATCTTCATGTAACATATTTTTTGTGCAAACCATGTTATTTTATGCAGGACATTGAGATTGAGTAACATAACATTCCACGACAGAAGGTCCTCTCAGCAAAGTTACCAAGCTTCAAACAGATCCGCACATGTTGTCTAAACATGTTTGTCTGTTAGACACATGTTTGTCTGTCTATCAGAGTTGGTGGATTGTTGCTGTATTTGTCTGGTGTCTCAATATGTGCTCAGCAAATACTCAATGTTGTTTCTCACAACGCTTGGCTTTCCACTTTGACTAGGTAAGGCTAAGTAAAAGCATAGATTAACATACTTGTTTAGTAGATTTGCCATCCTTATGGATCATCTGATAGTTTTAATGTTGGTTTCGACCGTAAAGAGAAAGTCATAAAATCACTCTCAAAAAAAGGTAAACAAAATTTATTTACGTCCCAGCTTCACATCCTAGAAAGCTAGTTCTCGCCCGGAACTGTATTTAACATTACTTCAGTCTAGTCCTAGAGATTTGCAGCATTATCACATATATTCAATCCATTTGTTTTTGGCGTGATTTGAACCCGAGACGTCAAGGTTCTAAGCCCCGACTTATACGACTTGACCAGCTCGGTCCCAACACCACATATACTAGAAACGAAAATCTTTAGATTTCAGGGCTGAATGAAGATTTCTAATGTAGTGTGGTCGGTTGCTATAATTGTTTTTTTTTTCAAGATATTTGTGGCGCTATTAAATTTTTACCCGTCCACCCGGCCCCGGGCATAACAATTAAAGACGCATTTTCAAAGCAAGAAATGAGACTGTATATTACAAAAATGAGATGTGGATTTGGTAGATTATAAGAAACGGCTCCGTGGCACACCCAAAGTATCGATGGTGCAGTCGTACTGCACAAGGCCGATACAGAACTACCCTAGTCGAAAGTTAAATTGAGAGTAGTGTCAAACCACGCAGCCTACAAACCGTTGTGCACAGAGTACAAACAATTGTGCACAGAGTACAAACCATTGTGCACAGAGTACAAACCGTTGTGCACAGAGTACAAACCATTGTGCACAGAGTACAAACCATTGTGCACAGAGTACAAACCGTTGTGCACAGAGTACAAACCGTTGTGCACAGAGTACAAACCGTTGTGCACAGAGTACAAACCGTTATGCACAGAGTACAAACCGTTGTGCACAGCCAATATGTAAATCAGGTTGAAGGTTAGTTTCAAGTGGGTTTTGAAATGGATTTGTTGGAAAGTTTAGCATTAGGATAAAATTAGTAAGATCGAAACCTACACCATGATGATATGCACTTTTACTCTGGAATTGGGGTTTGAAATGTTTATGTGAAAGTTTTTTAAGTTTTTAATTTTTGCTACTTAGCTAGTTTGTTTTCAATCCGTTAAATACTTGCAATGGGTGGCAACCCATTCCCCAAGAAAACTCATATATCAATGAAACATATTTTTTCTCAGCGAATTTTCAAGAAATGTTTGTTTAACAATGTTGCCATTATTTGTTCATATATTCGAAAATATTAATTGTTTTTAATCGAGCTTTATAATAATTATG